GCGCGGGGCGCTGGTGTGGGTGCGTGGGCGCAGGTGCATGGCTGCAAGTGCATGCACCCATAGGTGCAGGTGCATGGGTGCATGTGCATGGACCCGTGAGTGTGGGTGCATGGGTGCAGGTGCATGCACCCATAGGTGCAGGTGCATGTGTGCATGTACATGGACCCGTGCGTATGGGTGCAGGTGCATGCACCCATGGGTGCAGGTGCATGGGCCTGTGTGCAGATGCATGGGTGCAGGCGCACAGACACGGGTGCAGGTGCATGCATGGGTGCGGGTGCCTGCACCCACGGGTGCATGCAGCTGGGGACAGCCAGGCTGCAGGGCTGGCCCTGGGGTTGCTGTCACGTGCCGTGTCCCCTGCGGACGCGAACTTGTCCCATGCTCCTGTGTCCCTTCCCTCCTCACCAGGACACTGTGCCGTCCCGCGTCTCCGAAGACGCTGTCGCATCCCATGTTCCTGGGGACACTGCCATGTCCCGTGTCCCCAGGACACTGCAGCGTGTCCCCAGGACACTGCCGTGTCCCCAGGGTCCCAGACACCTGGGTCCTGGGCTCAGCACCCTCCTCAACCCCACTATTTTGTCTCCAGCTCTTGGAGCAGGACCCAGAGGGCACGGGGGTGCAGGGACCCCCACCCAGGTGCCATGGGGACAGGAGGTGCAGAGGGGGGCAGGGGTCCCCATGTGGCTGAGGGACCTGGGGGAGGCCCAGATGTCCCCACAGGGTGCAAGGCTCCAGCCTGGGCCCCTATGGAGGTGCCAGGTCCCTATATGGATGGCCGCAGTCCCCTGAGGTGGCAGAAGAGCCCCATATTGCTGCGGGGTGCCAGCGTTGGGACCCTATATGGGCACAGGAAGGTCCCTATATGGGTGCCAGGATCAGCCTTGTGTGGGTGCCAAGTCCTGCACAGATGCCACGTCCCTATATGAGTGCTGGGTCCCTCTACAGGTGCTGGGTCCCTATACAGGTGCCGGACACATATATGGGGCCATGTCCCTATGCAGGTGCCATGTCTCTCTATGATGCTGGATCTCGATGCACTGTTGGGTCCTATATGGGTGTCACGTCCCTATAGCGGTGTCAGTTCCCTATGAGTGTGCTCGGTCCCTATACAATGCTGGGTCCCTATGCAGGTTCTGGGTCCCTATATAGGTGCTTGTATCTGTAGGCAGGTGCTGGGTCCTGCGGGGTGCTGGTCCCTATATAGTTGTCTCTATATGTATATAGTCTCTTTATGGTGCCATGTCCCATTGCGGTTGATGTGTCCTTATGCAATGCCAAATCACCAGGCATTGCTGGGTCCCTATATGGGTGCCAGGCTCCTAAATGGTTTCGGGTCCCTACAACGTGCCAGGTCCCTATGGAGGAGATGGGTCCCTATATGTGTGCTGGATCCATATGTGGGTGCCAGCTCCTTATAGACTGTCAGGTAAATAAACAGAGTCAGGTCCCTATGGCGGTGCTGAGTCCATTTATGGTGTCAGGTCCTATGTATGTGCCAGGTCCTTATAGAGGTGCCAGCTCCCTATATGTGTATCAGGTCACAGTACGTTCGCTCTATGAGTGCTGGATCCATATGTGGGTGCTGGGTGCCTATATGGTGCCAAGTACCTGTGCAGGTGCCAGGTCTCGTGTGGGTGCTATATCCCTATACGGTGCTCACTCCCTATATGGTGCCAGCTCCCTTTGCAGGTGCCAAGGCCCACTGCGTGCTGGATCCATATATATGTGCCAGGTCCGTTTGTGGGTGGTAGCTCCCTATACGTTGTCAGGTTCCTATGTAGTACTGGGTCCCTATACAGTACCAGGAACCACTGTGGGTACCAGATCCTTATGTTGATGCCAGATCCCTATAGGGGTTCTGGCTCCCAGTGCTGGGTCTCTATATGAGCACTGGGTACCTATATATGTTAAGTGTCCCTATACTGCTGCTGGATCCATGTGTGGATGCTGTGCCCCTCCACATTGCCAGGTCACTCCTATATGTTACCATGTCCCTTTATGTGGTACTAGCTTCCTCTGCAGTGCTGGGTCCTATATGGTGTCAGTCTCTATATGTTGTCAGCTCCCTACACAGTACCTGCAGGTATATCAGGTCCCTATGGGGATGATGGGTCACTAGTTGGTGCTGAGTCCCTATACAGACTCAGCAACTTATAGTCAACCCTTTAAGGACTCAGAACGGTATAGGGATCAGGCATCGTTTAGAGACACAGCAATGTATAAGAACCAGCATCTCTGCCATGCTGGATCCATGTATGTTGCACAGACCCTACAGGGGTGCCAGGTCCCTATGTGGTGCCTGATTGCTATATGTTTCCTGGTCCCTAAAGGGTGCCTGGTCCCTATACCTTGCCATGTCACTATATGTTGTGGGTCCCCAAAGTGGGGCTCTCAGTGTCTTGATTTCGCCAGGTCTCTATAAGGGGTGCCCGGTCTCTATACATCCTGGTCCTTGTATGACGTGGTCCCTGTATGTTGCTGGGTCCCTATATGCTGTCAGGTCTTGATAGGGGGTGTCCTGTCCCTATGCATTGGTGGGTCCCTATGCAGGTCGTTCCCTGTCCCTGTTGCTGGTTCCCTGTAAAGGGGTTCCCAATCCCTATATGTCCTGGCTTCCTACAGGTCCCCATATGGGATGTCCGGTCCCTACACATCACCATGTCCCTATAGGGGATTTCCAGTCCCTATATGTGCTGTGTTCCTACAGGTCATTGAGTCTCTACAGGAGCATTCCCAGTCCCTATATATCACCATATCCCTATAGGGGTGCCGCTCCCTTTGCTTCACGGGCTCTCTATATACGCAGGGTCCCTGTAGGGGGTGCCCACTCCCCGTGCATCATGGGCTCCCTATATGTCCGGGCTCCCTATAGGGGGTGCCCGCTCCCTATACATCTCGGCTCCCTATAGGGGATGCCTGCTCCGTATACATCCCCATGTCCCTATAGGAGGTGCCTGCTCCCTGTGCGCCACAGGCTCCCTATACATCCCCATGTCCGTATAGGGTGTGCCCGCTCCCTATACACTCCGGTTTCCTATAGGGAGTGCCCACTCCCTATACATCCCCATGTCCCTATAGAAGGTGCCCGCTCCCCGTGCGCCACAGGCTCCCTAGACACTCCGGTTCCCTACAGTGGGTGCTGCTCCCTATACATCCCCATGTCCCTATAGTGGGTGCCGCTCCCTATACACCCCCATGTCCCTACAGGGGGTGCTGCTCCCTATACTTCCCCATGTCCCTATAGGGGATTCCTGCTCACTATGCATCCCCATGTTCCTATAGTGGGTGCCGCTCGCTATACATCCCCATGTCCCTACAGGGGGTGCCCGCTCCCTATACACTCTGGTTCCCTATAGGGAGTGCCCACTGCCTATACATCCCTATGTCCCTACAGGAGGTGCCCGCTCCCTATACATCCCCATGTCTCTATAGGGGATTCCTGCTCCCTATACACCCCCATGTCCCTATAGGAGATTCCCACTTGCTATACATCCCCATGGCCCTATAGAGGATTCCTGCTCCCTATACACTCTGGTTCCCTACAGGGAGTGCCCGCACCCTATACCCCTCATGTCCCTATAGGGGATTCCCGCTCCCTATACACCTGCATGTCCCTATAGAGGCTCCTGCTCCCTATACACCCCCATGTTCTTACAGGGGATTCCCGCTCTCTATACACCTTCATGTCCCTACAGGGGATTCCCGCTCGCTATACATCCCCATGTCCCCATAGGGGATTCCCGCTCCCTATACCCCCCCATGTCCCTACAGGAGATTCCCGCTCCCTATACATTCCAGATCCCTATAGGGGATTTCCGCTCCCTATACCCCCCCATGTCCCTATAGGGGATTCCCGCTCGCTATACATCCGGATCCCTATAGGGGATTCCCGCTCGCTATACATCCCCATGCCCCTACAGGGGATTCCAGCTCCCTATACATCCCGGACCCCTATAGGGGACTCCCGCTCCCTATACCCGCCATGTCCCTATAGGGGACTCCCGCTCCCTATACATCCCGGACCCCTATAGGGGACTCCCGCTCCCTATACCCCCCATGTCCCTACAGGGGGCGCCGCTCCCCCGCCGCTGCGCACGCCCCTCCGCGCCGGCAGGGGGCGCCGTGGCGCCGCGCGGGGCCCTGGCGGTGGCGCCCGCCACTTCCGGCGCCGCGTGGGCAGCGCGGGCGGGAGCGGCGGAAGCGGCGGCGGCGGGAGCGGCCTGTCCCGGCCTGTCCCGGCCTGTCCCGGCGCGGCGGCCCCGGCCCCGGCCCCGGCCCCGCCATGTGGTTCATCTACGCGCTCAGCTGGCTCTCGCTGCTCATCCAGGTGGCCTTCGTCACGCTCGCCATCGGTGAGCGCCGCGCCGTGCTGCCCGGGGGCGGCGGGTTCCGCTGCCTCGGCAGCCCCCCGCCTTGGGCCCTGCCGCCACAGGGGCTGTGTCGCGGTGTGCCGGGGAGGGGGAGGAGGCCTGCGGCTCCCCGGGCGCCTGGGGGGGGTCCCCGGGCCCTTGGGGGCGATCCCGAGCCCTTTGGGGGGATCCCGAGCCCTTGGGGGGTGCGGGTCCGTTCTGGGGTGCTGGCACCCCCAGAGTGGGTGCAGGGGCCCCGTGTCCCCCCACCTCCCCGCGTCCATATGCGTCTATACGCCCATACGCCCCTCCTGTGTCCCCCTGTGATCCCCTGGG